CTCTAGATCCCTGATGCTCAGTGAAATCCTACTTGGCCTTCAAGCCCACGTGCATAACAAGAGTGAGATGAAGGAATGAGCCTTTGCACCCTCAGGGTAAGACCAATGGCTACTTTTACCATCAGTCCACAGCTCCTTAAAAAATTAATATCAATAGCCAGCATCAGTTAAGGACCAACACAGACTGCATGCTTCACAGGTATAGCGTAGGCTCATAGTAACGCATCAAGGAAAGAAGACATGCTGATTCTGTTTTCTTTTAATTATTGTGGTAAAACATACATAACCCTTTTTTTTAACGTTTATTTATTTTTGAGACAGAGAGAGACAGAGCGCGAGTGGGAGAGGGGCAGAGAGAGAGAGGGAGACACAGAATCTGAAACAGGCTTCAGGCTCTGAGCTGTCAGCACAGAGCCCGACGCGGGGCTTGAACCCACGGACCATGAGATCATGACCTGAGCCGAAGTTGGACGCTTAACCGACTGAGCCACCCAGGCACCCCAACATACATAACCCTTTAAACCAGTACAGTCCAGAGGCATGAGGTACATTCACATTGTTGTGTGACCGTCACCTATTCATCTGCAGAACTTTTACAGCATCCCTACCTGAAACTCCGCATCCATTAAACCCTAACTCCCCATTCCCTGCTCTCTTGGCCCCTGGTAACCACCGCCACATTGTCTTAGAAATGAGGAAGCCGTGGCTTGGGGAGCCGAGGGGCCTTGCCCAAGGTTTCAGAGCTGGACAGGGCACAATCAGGAGAGGAGAGCAGAGCTCCTCATTAGACTCCAGACCTGCTGCTCTTTCAACCCTGCAACAGTGCCTGCTATACCTCCGCTGCAGACAGAGACCCAAGGTCGTCCTGTCTCCACCTCCCTGCTATTCATCTAGACTCCTGACTCCAGAATCATGCCCAGCACACTGAGGGAGCTTGGGATAGGTATAGAGCGAATTACAACATGCATCTACAACAGAGACGTTGTTGTCAGACTGACCCAGCAGATGGGAACGGAGCTCGAATCGCAACCTTTGCTTTCTAAAAACATTTATTGATGCCAACTGTGTGCCTGGCCTGGTGCCAGCTTCTCCATGCCATCCCCTAGCCTGCTGGCCCCACTCAGCAGAGGAGGCCCGAGGGCTGGCTCTGCCTGACGGCTGTGGTGCAGAAAATTTGTGTTTACATTACCCAGTCAATTCTGTATTTATTTTGGATATTAAGCAGTGACATAAAAGCTGCTGACATTAACCTTCAGGGGCAGAAACTGGCTTTAATGGACCCCATAAAAGTTATTATTGATGGCAGCTGCATGCAGCATCGCCATGACCTCAGCAAAACCCTCCACCACTATCAATACTGTTGACAATTACTATTGACTAATGCGAGGCTGGGTGGGTAGGCAGAGTTGATGTTCCTTCCTGTGGCTGGAAGTTGCTGGAGTTAGTCTGCATTTCACATTTGGTAAAGGTCTCTGAGAACGTGGTCACGTATTTTTGGTGGCCTCAACTGAGAGTCTAACACTCGCTGATTCAAATGGAGGTGGGCAAGGAGCTCGGATTATAGGACTGAAAGATCTGAGTTCCCACCCAAGCTTTGGTGACCTGCTGACTTCCCAGCTCCACCGTCTCCGCCAGGAGACTCTTTGGAGCCTCAGTTTCCCCATCTGAGAAATGGGAATGCCATGGCACTGTCATGAGGATTAAAGGCAATCACACATGAGTGGTGGCTTGACACATGATGGGCCCTCCGTATGGCTCCCCTGTACTTCTGGAAAGCGGTCACACTCTGAGGTGTCTGGCTAGTGTACCCAGTGCAATAGGGTCCTGTTCTGGTGGCAAGACCCAAGTTCTCATCAAAGAAGGAGAACTAGGGGAGGGGATGAGTGTGAGACAGAGAGAGGAGGGCAGAGGAGGGAGAAGGAGATGGGAGGGGCATGGAGAAGGGAGGGAGAGCAGACAGGACAGAACCAGACTCCTGGGTAGGGCCTGGTGTCAGCTCTTCCTCCTTCATTCCCAGAGCCCCGGTCCTCAGCTGTAAGCTGGGGAGACAACGGGGCACACAACAGCGCTGCCCACTTCATCAGTAGACAAAAGGGAGCCATTCCTACGGCTCACGCACTGTCAGTATGATTCACTGTCACTATTTAGACCCGAGGATAACAAAGCTGTCAGCGTAGCTTTCCACCTAGGGGCAAGTGGACAAGCACGTGGGCAGCTGTGGGTGTCTGGGCTTGGGGAGTCCAGGCCTGGAAGGGCTGCGGAGGTCAGGGGATCTCTGTTAGAGTCACCTGTCCACCTCCTTCGCCTGCCTGTCTTCCTCGAGCACAGCGAGGCTTGAGTGTGGCAGCCAGTGTTGAAACAGACCATCGGAAGAGAAGGAAGAGGTGGCCCGGCCAGGGGAAGCAGGCAGCCATTTCCCGTCCCCGTTATCAATTTCCCGTCCCTGTTATCAAAGGCTGAAGCTCTTGAGGCTCCTCGACCATGTCATTATCACCCAACAGAGGCTTAATTCAGCTCTAATTCAGCTCTTAGGGAATATACAATAATGTGGGCGGCGTGCACCTCACTCTGTCATGACTTTGTGGAAAAATGATCATTTGTCACCACGGCCAGAAGCCTGCAAAAGAGCAAACAACCTAAGTACTTCGCTGCAGAGGAAATTCACGGTCACTAGGGCTACAAGAATAAAGATCTTAGAATAATGAAGGCCTGAGTTCAAATCCTGTCTTGCTAGTGATGTGACTTCTGCAGGTATCTTAACCTCTCAGTGCCATAGTCTCCTTATTCTGCGCAATGGGGATGATACAACCTACCTCAAAGCAGTGTTCCTGGGGGGAAATGAGATCCTAGAACTAAAGCATCAGCACTGCTTGGGGGCCGCTGGTTAGCAGCAGCTGCTGACTGCTAACGTTGCTATTATCATATTATCATTTTCTTCTTGTGAGCTTCCATCTTAACACAAGCACTTCAGATCACAGAATCCCAGATCTAGAAGGGCTTGCGGGTCCTTCAGCTCAGCTCTTCCCCAAAAGCGTTCATTAGAACACCAAACCCATCAGATGCTCTGAGAGCAAAGTGCTCCACGCTCACATCAATTTGGGGGATGCTGCGTATGTCTCTCCTTGGCGGTTTACCCATTAGCATGCACGTTAATAGATTAAAGGCTCTGAGAAGTCCTGCAGCAAAGAAATCGGCTTAAAACAACATATGTTTCCTACATTATTTGACCACAGGGCACTTTCCTGCTGTCATCCCCACCCCACCCTAAGAACTATTAACATTCTCAGATACAGGAAATGCTGATTTTGTTTAAAACTACTTACTTTACAGATGGGGAAAAGGAAACAGAGGTCCAGAGAAAGAATCCAACTTATCCAGCGCCACACTCCGGGTCAATAATGGAACTGAGGCTCCCTGCCTCCTGATCAGAGACCATTTTCTCTATAAAGGCCTTACATATCAAATCCGTGCTCTTGTTCAGTGCATGGCGAGAGTGGGGGGCAAAGGGGCTGCTGCCTTGGCTTGGGCCTTGGTGGGAAGCTGGGAAGGTGGGAAGGTGGGAAGGTGGATGGCTTGTCACTGCAAAGAGGGGGATCTCCCTCGGTGCTGAGGTCATTGTCCTCCTCACAGGGCAAGGGAAGGTGACAAGGCCAAGCCAGTATCCAGGCACTGCTGCTCCCTCACCCCTCAGACAGGTGCACAGGCTCCCACAGGAAAACTTCCGAGCTCTCTGGGAGGGCTGGTGGAATGGATATTTGGAACTCTGCTGCACCTGACTCTTTAAGGAAATAAATTTCCCACCTGACCCCGACCTTACCTAGTCTCCTGCCCGACTCAAATCTGGGACTCTGTTGTGTATAACCTAGCTACAGCATCCTTTTCAGAGATTAACCTGCCTAAGACTTCACCTCTGACCTGGTCTCCACCCTCGCCCCCCTCCCCAACACACGCCTCTGGGGAAGCCTGCACAGGAATTAGGAGGATCCTGCACTCGGAGCTGGAAACCAGTAGGGGGCACTGGTGCCCGGCTCGGCCTTTCCAGTTTTCACTCCCAACCCTGGTATGGAAGCACTAGCACATCCCCTTCCTGGACTTCTGAGACCAAAAGCCCTCCCCGCTCCCCTCCCCTGGGCAGAGGGGCTGTCCCTGTCTCCACTCCCCTCCCCAAGGCTGTGCTGCCAGACCCAGCAGCGGCCTCCTCAGTTCTGGCCCGGGTCCACAAAGCTGCCCAGAGTGTGGCTGGGAACAAAGCACCGGAGAAGGGAGACCGCAGGGCTGCAACTAACCCAGAGCCCCTTAGACATCTGCCAACGAGGTCCCAAAAGTAAGGAGGGAAACCTGAAACCGGGTTCCCGCCCTTCCCCTGTACCAAGGAGACATGTGAACCAGCTGCCATCTTTTTCTCCCACAACATCTCTTGGGCCTTGGAGGAAGGGGTGCAGAGGTGAGGGTGTGATCGAGCCCAGAACCTGCACGTCCCCAGATCTGCACATGAGATCGGGGGAAAGCTGGAGCAAACCCTCAGGCTTTGAGTTACCCCAACATGACAGTTTTTGTTCAAGGCCATCCTCTGACCAGCCTGAAATACGGGGGGAGGGCGCCCCCGGTGGAGACCCCCCAGGACTGCTGAGCACCTGGAGGCTGGAGACGGAGAGGGATTCAGGAAGGACCAGACATGGCTGATGCAACAGAGAACAAGCTGCTGGAGATCCGTTACCGCTGCCCGCCCCCCGCCCCCACCACAGGCACCTTGCAAGTAATAACCCTGTGCCTGAGGCACCTCCCAATCTGAAAACCCGAAAACAAAGAGCAGTGACCCAATCTCTGCTGTGTCACCAGTGGGTAGGTGTTTTGTGTGACCGTGCAAAAGGCTCTGACTTTTGACCACTGAGAGCAAAGCAATTTTTCACCAACTTTACCGGAGCCCCAAGCGATGGAGCAGAAAATCAATATTGTAATTAAAACCCCGGCACCTGGCACAGGCCAAGGTGGCCACTCACCGGTCTCGGTGTTCTCGTGCTCAGTGTCGGTGAGCGTGAGGTTGGAGTTGGCCCGGCTGGACAGGCAGGAGCTGCGCCCCGACCGTGTGCTCCGGCCCCAGAGCCGCACGGGATGCTCAGGGGACAGTACAGTGTCGGCCTCAACGTCGGCATCAGAGCTGGCCCCCATGGAGTAGCCGCAGTGTGGGAGGCCTATGTCTGTCCGGTACAGGGTGCCATGAGGGGGCGTCACCTCTCCCAGCCCTAGCTCACGCAGGGTGAAGTTGGCTCCTGGGAGGAAATGCAGGTAAGCTTGGTTAGGGTCTCCTGAGCAGGGGTCTCCCCACCCGAAACCGGGCTGCCCACCCCAGGATTCACTGTTGTCTGGTGAGCTTGTGTGGTGTTCTGCCCACGTGCCCCACTGCCGAAACGGCTCCTTCTGCCCCTCCCCCATCAGCCCAACTCCTCCACTTCCTTTAAGCCCCAACGCACACGGCCCCTCCTTTGTGAGGTCTCCCCTAATACCTACACCCTGGGCGGGAGTCCTTGCTTCTTCCTGTATTCAAGCCCATTCTGAGAGTCCTTGGCCCTAGTCATCCTGCACAGTAGAACCAAAGGCCTGACCCTTCTGCTGGTGATGACTTCAGCAGGGGCAGGGAACCTGTCATGCTCATTCCTCAATCCCTGCACCTAGAACAAAATGTGGGACTCAGTAGGGGCTCAGGAGATGTCTGTTAAATTGAGCCTTAGGTCTCTTCTTCTGATCGAGAGAGGACTTGCCAGAAAGGAGCACTCCTGAGCCGAGTGGACGCCTAGTTGATGAGATGCAGATGGCTGCCCTGGGACCAGAAGGTCCTTTCTGGTCAAGTCGGGAAAGCCTAGAACACGACAATGAAGATGGTGACTGGCAGAGGAAAGGGGGCCCCAAGCAACACCACGGGCTTCCTCATGCTAGGCAGGGCCGGGACCATGGCGGGGATCTGCAGGCTTTGGAGCAGTCCAGGGAGCCAAGCCCACAGAGCTGGATTGCGGAGAAGTCTTGAGGGCTCGGGGAGGCCTGGAAACATCCAGGACTGAGGTCAGTGAAGAGGTGGGTGAGGGGAGTTCACTGGGGGATTAGCATTTGAGCAACAAAGGGAACGGTAACTTCCAGGAAAAACACAGCCTCCATGTTGCACCTGAATGTTGGCTCAACGTCTGTTCAAGGACGGCTTCCTGTGTATTTCTAACATTCCCATGAGTGTTTGGGGGATGAAGAAGAAGGGGTGGACAGAGGCATTAACGGTCCCATTCCAATTAAACCACTTCTCTGGGAAATGGCTTTATAATCAGGCAGCTCCCACATTTAAGCCAATTCCAACTGGCCGTGGGTTTACAGACAAACAGCAATGAGCAGGGCGTGGTGCCTGGCTTTCCAGGCAAGCGGGGGAGCTACAACCAAATACACGATGACAGGCGGAAGTCCAAAGAGGGGAGATCCACGGAGAATGTTCTGCGAACACACAGGCAGAAGGTGGGAGCTCAGAGGACAGGTTTGCAGATGAGAGTGACCTTGGAGAAAGGAGTAAAGAGGGGAGCATAGATGCCTGAGCTTTGAAGGATTCCTGCAACCAGGGCCAGGGCTCAGTGGGAAAGCCTGCAAGGCCAGGACCCGCCAGAGAACAGGAGGGGAGGCAGCAGGGAGAGCCCCTACCACCACGGTGTGCATCAGTCTGCAAAGAAGCCCTGTGCTCCCGAGCGTCCCGGTCAGCTCTGGGCCCAGACCTCTGTACTGACACAGGGTGCAAGTTCTGTAGAAGTTTCAAGAAAACAGGCAGACACACTCTGGCAGTACTTTGGGGGATGGATAAAGAGAGGGAAGGAGCAGGGGAGGAGGGACCAGTGGGGCCGCTGGGAAAATAAGAGCTGCAGTGGAGGCAGGGTGCCCCAATCCTGTGGCTCAGGCGGTTCATGTTGCTCCAGCCTTAATATGAGGTTAAGGTCATGAAATAGTTCTATACTGGCTGGCAACTGATGTCCGGGCCCACCCAGTGCCCCCGGCCTCCGCCCTGTCTACTCTTGCCCCTCCCCATAAACAACCCCCAGCCTCCCCATGATGTGGCACAGCAGGGACCTCTGCGCTCTGCTCAGTGGCCAGGCATTCTGGTTGGTCAGGGTATGGGTCAGAATCGATGTCAAATATTTTGAATATCCCCTATGTGCCATCCTCCGGTCTGCCCTCCCTCTGTGCCCTCCTTCTAAGTAGAAGAAACTCCACATTGGAGACCAAATCCCCTGTCTGCTTTCCATCCTCTCTGCACACCATACTCACTGCTTGCCCCATTTACCTCTCTCTGATCTCCCTTCTCCACCCCTGTCTTGTCCCCTGCCTCCGTCCCAGCTCATGCTCCTGCCCTGATGGGCTGGACCTCTCAAGGAAAGCCAGTCACACATCAGAAGAATGTGAAATAAACAGCCCAGGCTGCATCAGTTTCCATGTGGCTTGCCCTATATACCCTTTTAAGCAGCCAGAGGCAGCGTGAATATGAGTGAGCTGAGAGATCTGTGGACGGAGAAGGGCAACGTGATGGCTGACTCTGAGGGCTCAGCGATCCCTTGGAGCCGGCTCAGCCCCTCTGAAGTGTGAGCTTAGGAGATTTATTTCCCCAAATGTGGGAAGTCCTTATGATCTGTTGACTTTATGGCCTTTTGGCGTCTTTCATGAGGATCCCAGGACACAGGCTGACATATCACCCTGCTCAACCTCGACTTGTGTGATCTTGGGCTGCTGCAATCACCTAAGCCTCAATGTTCTTGTCTTTAAAGTGGGGGTGATAATCTATGACCTGCTAGCCTCACAGAATTTTTAAGGATCTCGGGAGGTAATGGGTGGGGGAGTACTCTCTAAACTGTCATGGCCATGTCTGCCTATGAAATGGGAATGATTCTTATTTAAAATTTGTAATGTTTATTCATTATTTTTGAGAGAGAGAGAGACATGAGCAGGGGAGGGGCAGAGAGAGAGAGAGAGAGAGAGAGAGAGAGAGAGATACAGAATCCAAAGCAGGCCCCAGGCTCTGAGCTGTCATCACAGTGCCCAACGCGGGGCTCAAATCCACAGACTGCGAGATCATGACCTGAGTCGAAGTCGGATGCTTAACCGACTGAGCCATCCAGGCGCCCCTGATTCTTATTTTTTATAAAGACAAGAGGGGGCTCCTCTCTGCAGCCTCCTGTGCTAGGGTGGCATCCAGGCCAAGCTGGGCCAGTCAGGGCTCACTGAGCTCTATCAGGCATGGGCGGGACAGAGATGGAAGCAAGTTTTGATATCCTTTTGTCCCTTCTCCTCGTTGAGACCCAGAGAAGGCAATGAGTGGTAGGCAGAATCTTTGAAGCATCTGCTCCACACCAGGCACCGTGTCAAGTACTTTATTTACAATCCTCATTAATCCTCATGACCATCCTACGATTAGGATCACTGTTAACCCATTCCCCCGGTGAAGAAGCTGAGGGCAATAAAAAAGGCAGATCCAGAATTCAACTAGAGATCAGTCAGTTGCCAGTCTGAGCTCTTAAGCACAAGCTGGAAAAGAGCTAAAGATCGTTTCTCTTTTGAGCCTGAGAGGCAGCATTACAAACAGGCTTTCATGTGGATTCAGGCCTGTGGGAGAGGCCAGGTGGGTGTCAGGCTATATACGTTTGAGACCGGCTCCTCTTACCTCTGTGATCTGGGGCAAAGGATTCAGCTCGGGGTTGTCGTATGGATTAGATAGCAGTGCCGGAATGTATATAAACTACACAGCACGCTGCCTGGCTAACCCTGGCTGTGGAAGGGAAGCGGGTAGGGCAGAATCAGCGACTGGTAGCAGCCCGTCAGGCATCACAGAGGGCTCAAGGGTCTGCAGGCAGAAAAACAGGAATCACTGCAGCACCAGGGTAAGGAACAAATACGGCAAGTGTGGGAATCATGAGTAGGTCTGCGGGTTGGAGCATGGGTGGCAGGGTGTGGAGAGGCGGGGGACAAAATAGTCCAGGAAGAAAAACGGATCTGGGGAAGTCCCTTATGCCAGCTTAAGGAGCTCAGGTTATGGACAAGGGGGAGTCATTCCCAACTTCACTCCAGGTGCAGTGCAGAGAATGGCCCAGAGGTGGCAGCACTGGGTGAAGGGGGGCTGTGGTCAACCCTCCCGGGGAGAGAGAGGACAGTGGCAGAGTGGATGAAGAAGAGGGATGGATTTGAAAGTTACTTTGGAGTAGGATGGACAGGCTCTGGTGACTCGTGTAGGCCGGAACTGAAGGAGAGGAGTCAGGTGCCAAGATACTATCCAATTACCAAGACTTTAGGTCTATCTCAGGAGCAACGCTTTGCTAAACCGGGAGGATACTTGAGGCAAAGAAGGTAATACGTCTGTTGAATGGATACATATATGACGAGTAATAAAACGAATAACTGACTTACTCCGCACTTGATGTTAGCATGCTTACCGCTTACAACATGCCCCTCCAGCCCACAATTCAGTGCAGCCCATCTAACAGATGGGGACTGAGGCCTCCCGGAGAGCTGGTGGCGGTTCTGAACGCAACCCCAGTTAGTCTGGCCCGGAGCCCAGCTCCTAACCAGCTCTTTATGCCCACAGACCGGGTGACCACGAAGATGAACTTAACTAAGCGTGAATTACAGGCAGGCTCTGACCAGATCTGGGAGCCAGAAGAGCCGAGACCTGGTGTTGGCCCACGTCCTCCCGCCAGCTGTCTGCTCACCTGCGCACGCACCCAGGTGCACAGCTGCCCCTCCCCCCCCAGCCGGGCCCCGGGCGCCCTCACCTGCGCGGCAGAACTCCTCGGCCTCTTGCGGCACCATGTCCTTGACTCGGCCGCCGTAGGCCAGGCGGGCGTCCTGGTCGTAGGCCTTCAGGGTCTCGCTGGAGCTGTAGGACTTCTGTGGAGCCTTGCCCTCCTCGCTGTCCGCGGACGAGCTGGTGTAGCGGCGCTCGGCGTCGCGGCGCCGGGTCAGCGAGCGGTACGGCTTCCTCTCCTTCACGTCCATGGCCTCCGGCCCGCGCTCCTCCACATCCACGAACAGGGTCCTCGCCGCACTCAGGGCTGAGTGGTCTGCAGCCGGGAAACCAAAGAGAGGGTTGAGCCCGGGCCCCAGGAGGCAAAGGCAATACCCGAATCCATCCTGGCCTCGGATTCGCCCTGCGATGCTGTGGACGAGGGACTTCAGACTTGGAGAGGGGAGGGCTCCACAGCCACAAAGAGATCAGTAGCAGGGGGGGACTTGCACCCGGGCCCTCTGAGGATGAATCCTCTTTCTGCTACTCCGCCTAGTCGCCAGGAAGAGGCTTCAGCCTCCCCTCCAGTGATGGGTATCAAGGAAGTTGAAAACAAAGACCAGAAGGCACTGATTTCAGCAGTCTCCCTAGATAGGAATCATGTGTTTGTTCCCATCATGTCCCCAGCTGGGATAGGGCCTGACACGGAGCTGGGGCTCCTTAAGAATTCGTGAAATGGGGCTTCTGGTTGGCTCAGTTGGTTAAGCCTCAGACTTCAGTTCAGGTCATGATCTCACGGTTGGTGGATTCCAGTCCCGCATTCAGATTCGCTCTCTCAAAAATAAATAAAACATTAAAAAAAAAAAAAAGAATTTGTGGGGGCGCCTGGGTGGCTCTGTCGGTTGAACGTCTGACTTTGGCTCAGGTCATGATCTCACAGTTTGTGAGTTCGAGCCCCACATGGGGCTCTGTCTGACAGCTCAGAGCCTGGAGCCTGCTTGGGATTCTGTGTCTCCCATGCTGTCTGCCCCCCCCTCAAAAATAAATAAAAACATTAAAAAATTAAAAGAAAAAGATTTTTTGAAATGAAAAACAACGCAGGCATGCGGCTAAGCACTTAGCACACACTATCTCATTACATGGTCACACGGCCTAAGATGTTATTCTTGTTTCCAACCTTTTTTGGAAATGAGTCAGAGTATAAATAACCAATTCACATGTATCATGACCAGATAATTAAACAACTACTTGATAATTGTCTGTTTTCTCCCACTAATAAGTAAGCTCCATGAGAGCAGGCACTTTAGCTCTTTTGCTCACTCCAGAGCCTGGTGCATCTAATATACATTTGTTTATTTAATTGGCCAACCAATCCCCATCTGACAGATGAGAAAACCAAGGTTCAGAACCTCCTTCAAGGTCACTGAGGCGGTAATAAAGCCCGGATCTGAACCCAGGTCTGTTAGGCTCTAAAACTGGAGTTTTTTTATTCTATCACACTTCCATGAGTCCCCTTCCTTCCACTACACAAAAGTGTCCTTCCAGCTAGGCTGACCCTGGCCACCATGGCAATCTGAGAACTCCCTCACATCCAGACCTACAAGCCTCAACAGGGACACCATCAGCACCTGGGGAAGCCACAGTGTCAGCCCCATTTGCCTGGGTGTTGCCAGGGTGTCTGATTGGTGGGAAGCTCCTGATATCATTTTTTTTTCTTTTCCCCATTGGACCTTTTTGCTCTAAACGGACATCCTGGGATTTTTTTATACCCGTGATAGCACTCCCTTCTTCCTTCTAAATGTCTTCCTTTGGCTCTGGAATAGCAAATGCAGCCCCATACAAGAGCCAGGAGATAAGCACAGGAGGAAAACAGAATATCCCGGGCAAGGCTTGATGAGAGCTCTTATTTTTCTTGATGCATACAGCTTTCTCAGTTCTTTCACTGTTCCACTTCTTAGAGCCCTGTGGATATACAAACTGTGCAACTGTCCTGTAGAAAAGCAACAGAGCAAGAGCTATGACCAATGGTGCCATGCTGGTGTGGAGGCTCCGTGCCTGGGGTGGGGTCTCTGACAGACGGCGGCGAGGGCCGGGCCTGCCAAGAGGACAGTTGGGCACTCAGTGCCTGCAGGGCTGCAATGTAGCAAGCAGTACAGGGTGGCTTATTCATTTTTAAGACAAGTTAGAAATTTGGACTTAGACACAAAATGTGTGATTTTTGGATTCTATCCATGATTTCTTCAAATCTCAAAACACTTTGTAGGCCAAACAAAACACACTGAAGGTTAGCTTTGGTCTGATGGGTGGGTGTTTCCAAGTTCTTCATTCGGTCATGGCCAGATGAGGCATCCTTTTGGCCGAAGATGCCCTCTTCCCTACCAAGACCTAAAAGGCCATCTCCTGGGGAAGGTCTCAGCCTGGTTCCACTGCAAACTCTGCTCATCTGGTTACAGAGCTCTCTAGACCCACTCAAATGGGTCCATTATGTCCTAACCTGGAAAGCTGCATCACTTCACTTAGCAAAAGAATGGTCTGAGGTTACCACTGGTAACTGGTTGGAGTCTTTGGGATTTATCACAGATCCCAAGTGTCTACTATAGACTTCCTTCTACATGTTCTCCATGATTTTCAAAGAGTGCAAACATTTGTGATTTCATTGGTACCCCCTAATAACCATATTAGACAAAGCATATAAGACAACTATTTTCACCTCCATTTTATACATGGGGCAACAGTGACCCAGAGCCATCCAGCTGTCTGCCCAAGGCCACACGGTGAGTTAGTAGCAAAGCCAACATTACTAGACAGACAATGCCTTAGGGTGGCAGCTAGAGCCAATCAAGATGTGTAGGTGATGTTTTTTGGGTCCCAGTTCTCAAAATACCCATAGAAATTAGTTCTGGGACAAGGAAAAAGACGTAAGATACATAGAAATCAAATCACCTTACTGAAGCCCAAACCCAAGTTTCTGAGCTCTGATCTCTTAACATTCAGTCTTCTGACACTGGCTGATGCAGTGATAGTTGGTCGTCTGAGCACCTGAGGGGCAGGGCCGGAGGGAAGACCGGTGATAACACTTTCTACTCCAGGGCTGTGAAACCTTTTTGCCTGCGATCCATAATTTGAAAAACATCTTACGTTGTGACCGGATACACACATTTATGTATATGCATGCGTGTGTTTGTGTGTATAAAATGGAAAGAAGATTCACAAAACCAAAGTTACCACATGATGAACAATGTATTCTGATGTTTCCTATTTCATTCTCTTTCAGTTTTTTTTTTTTTAATTTTTTTTTTCAACGTTTTTTATTTATTTTTGGGACAGAGAGAGACAGAGCATGAACGGGGGAGGGGCAGAGAGAGAGGGAGACACAGAATCGGAAACAGACTCCAGGCTCCGAGCCATCAGCCCAGAGCCTGACGCGGGGCTCGAACTCACGGACCGCGAGATCATGACCTGGCTGAAGTCGGACGCTTAACCGACTGCGCCACCTAGGCGCCCCTCTCTTTCAGTCTTTTAAAAAGGCAGATGATAACTCTCTAACTTGACCCAATACTGGCTTTTGACCCAAAGCACTGTTCTGGTCTAATTTGGATGAGGATTTATGGCGACTGTCACCTAGCCTCTGTGCCCTCTGGCCCTTCACCTCCAACTCACCCCCCTGGATGACAATAATGATGATGATAATATAATAAGAGTAAGCACTAAAGTAATGTTAGCCATTGTTAATACTAGTGACTAATAATTCATAATAACGATTTCATAATAATAACCAATATTATGTTTAGTAGCTAATATTTGCTGAGTACTGTTACTAATATTGTACATGGTAATATTTTAATCCTCACTTCAATTCTGTGTTATAGGTACTATGACTATCTGTAAATTACAGGTGAGAAATTATGAGGTTAAATATATTGTCTAAGGTTACACAGATCTTGAGTGGTGGACCCAGAATTCTGGTCCAGGGGTTGAACTTGGCATATGGATACAGCCATGAGATGATTTTGCCTCGGTAGGTTGTGCTAGATGAATTTCTTAAGCCCAGATCATTCCACTACCCTGCTGATGCCTCTCTAGGAGCTCAGAATAAATTCTTGTCTCCTGGTCAAAATGGAAGGTTAATCTTTGATCTGGCTCATTTCACTTCCTTCTGAGTCACTTGCAACCTTCCTGGATGTTAATTCTGTGGCCTCTCTGCCTTTGTTCATGTTGATTTATCACTGTACATCCAGCTAACTCGATGGTCTATATTCATGTCTGCTTTTCCCTTGATGGCAGTTCCCTGAGGGCAGGCCTGGCATCCACAGAGCTCATGAAATGCATGTGGAGTGAATGAATGAATGAATACAATTACTTGACAGCTACTTTTTACTTCTTACCAATCTTAGGTGATATAAAATATTAGTAGTTTGATTTAGGTAAATATGTATTAGATATATCTAAAATTGAATCAAAGGCATTGCTTATACGACTTCTTTTAAAATTTCAAAGGGGCACCCAGGTGACTTGGTTAAGCATTCGACTCCGGCTTGGGTCATGAGTTCGAGCCCAGCATCGGGCCCTCCACTGTCAGTGCAGAGCCTGCTTCAGATCCTCTGTCCCTCTCTCTGGCTGCCCCTGCCCCACTCGCTCTTGCTCTCTCTCTCAAAAATAAACATTAAAAAAAAATAAAATAAAATTTCAAAGTAAGCCTACGTTTGAAGTATGTGTCTAGTATGTAGCAGCTGTGTGACCTGGGACAAGTTATTCAACCTCTCTGCGCTTCAGTTTCCTCATCTGTAAAACAGCATCGGCCTCTTAGGGTTGTTCTGAGGATTAAATAATAGTTAATACATGTCCCTGGTACATATTGTCCCTAATACATAGCAGGTGCTCAGTAAATGTTAGCCATTATTATCATCAGAAAAAAAAAGCCGACATTTTATTTTTAAAAGGCACCCTCTAGGAGGCTCCAGCTGAGCATCAGTTATAGCTGGAGAGGAACATCCCCTCAGAAACGTACGTTAATAAGGCTGAGACACATTTTAGGCTGTTAAATTTGTGGATGACTATGTTTTTTTTATCAGTGTGTGCCTGTTGACCAAAGACACCGGCTTCAAGGCAAAGGCTCAGTAACTATGAATTACTAACAACACAGCCCCGAAACTCACAGCTTCCCTGTCACAAAGCAGAGGCAGGGAGAACATTTGCCTTGCTCTTATTCCCCTTTAATTTTTTTCCCCAGTTTTGAGTTAATATAGTAATTCAGTAAATGGTAAATATCTATTTTTTAACAGATGGGAGGTTGGTCATGGTTCACACTCGGCTTGGCATTTAATAGAGGAGGAAGAGGTTGGGAGGTGAGAGGCGACAGTGGAGCGAGGGTCCCAAGCACAGTGATGCACAGACCAGGCAGGAGGG